AATAAAGATAAAATTTAACAACTGAGCAGCAAAGAAAATAAAGTTAAATAATAGCAAGTATTCACAGTAAAATGAAGTACAGGAATTAAGTAATGCAAGTATTTATTGAATGAAAAGGTATGGTTTACAAAAAATTCAAGATTCCTCAGAGGTGGTGAGATAAACACTAGTCGATGTCTGTTGTATGGTTGCTTTACATATTTTTATCAACTCTTTACTGATGAGCCAGCAGCTACGAGTACCACTTTGCCCTTTACACGTCAAGCTTATGAAAAATTAATGCTATTCCTTTCACGTTTTACGTAGCTTAAATTGATTCCACATGGTATAAATGGCAAACTTATCAACTGCCATTGTCTAGTCTAATTGGTTAATTGAGCTCATTCACTCAAGTAATTTTTGTAAAAAGCTAACTCAAGTAATCAGTACGGAAATTAGATTAGATAAAAAGTACTGATGCTTGAAGCATTTCATTATTTTCTCAACATAATTTCTTTCGTTAAAGTATGCGTAAGCAATACTTTTTGTGTAATTTCCACTTCCCTTCAGGCAGAAGTAGCTATATTATATAATTACTGCGATTTCAAGACAGAAACCAACGAAGCACTGCAGGAAATTGTTTCTTGTTTACATTTTTTGAATCCAAAATTGGCTCATCGCAAACGAATGAGGGATGTATTAGCTCGAGCTAGACGTGAATTACTCCAACGACTTCTGGTCTGCTGCAAATTGCCTTTAGCAATACTTTTCACAGCGACTTGACTTCACATACCTCACTTCACACTTCTTTCGTTTACTCAAAATTTTTTCATTATTACTAAATTATTCAGCTTTTTCATTAATAGCTATATTCAATTGGGACAAGTTCTGATAACGAGTGCTTATCAGCTTGAAAAATCACTGCTTTTTGTTCTGAAAAAGGCACATTTCAAATTATTTGCAACTTCTTGATAATATTCATATTAGTTACGATTAATCAGTCATTATATTAGTTACCAATAATCAGTTGCCTATAATTAGTAATTAACTTAAGTAAAAATTAATTATATGTATTAATTAACTTAAATATATATAAGATGATTAACAAATGTGGCAAAAAATTAACGCAATTTTTATTTTTTTTGCGTTTATTTGTAGAAAAATTTGGTGACGTTTATTTATATTTGTTTGTTTATTTACTTAATTGTTTATTTATTTATTATAATTTATTTATTTACGTATAAAAAATTAAAATATTAATTAAAAATTATATTGACAATTAAGTAATAAATTAGTGACTTCTGGCACTGTAATGAAATTATAACATCAAAATAAATTATTAATTATTGAATATAAAACTGCTGAAGCCATACACGACAAAGTCACTGCCAGAAATATTGTCTTTCTTGCGCATCGTAATTGTGTGCAATTTCCGGAAAACTGAGCAGGCTGTGTATGGAATTATCGCTGATCCCTTCTACGACACATTTTTGTATGTTGACAGTTTATTTTCTTATCAAAACAATTAATATTAAAAGCTTTTTTAATAACTTTTTAATTTAAAAAGTTATTGAAAAGATTCATCCAAAAAAACTTCATGAAAAATAAGACTGTTTTCTCTCCTAATCTTGCATACAAAAACAATATCCATATTGTGTTAAACGAAAATTTGTAAGAGTTGTGGTACTGAAATCGCGTTGATATAAATTATTTGAATCACAAAACAGTGCGAGGAGTAATTCACAAAATGATGAAAACTTTATTAGTTATTAATTGCATCCATAGCTTTATGATTATTGTTAATGAGGATGATACTATTACTGAAACTACTGAGGACAGTAATTTTATTACTAACAAACTTTTGACAATAATAATAAAGTTATTGTAAATATGGTAAATGAGAGTAAAACATACGCAAATGAATCAGCTTTCAATACCTTCGGTCAAGGATTTGATTATGAATGATACTGCTTAGTTGTATTTTATAAAATATTCTTTTTGAAAATTTTTTTTAAGTAATACAATCAAAAGTTCAAATGTGATTTGCTTGAAATTTTTTAAATAATAAAATTGGTCTTAAGAAGCGATTTTGGTAACGATTGTGGAACTATACAGCGAGGATTGTTAGAGCAATTAGAATCTGTCACTTTGTATTTCGACGGTGAATTACGATCACGTGAAATCAGTATACACCGCCATACAAAGCGTATCAAAGATAAACCTTGGAATGTCTGACAAACCTGGCGTTACTGTGAATTTTCACACATCAGAAAGAATCAGTAGAATTCTGCCTAAAATCCAATTAATAAATTACAAATTCTGCATAGAGCTGCGAGTTACTACATTATTGTAAACTTATTATTCTACTAAATGAAATTTGTTTTTTTCATTCTTTATGTAAATTTAAATAAAAAGATTAATTAACGGAATGACAACAAAGTTGTGCTACGCTTGTAAATTCTTAAATGTAGGCAAGAATAAATATGCAAAATGTGTATTTCTCGGAAAATTTTAAAATTTTGCGACCAATAATTGACCTCTATAAAGCCCTAAAACTACGTTAAGTACAGCTTACAACTGAAACTGTTCTATGGCACTGTTAATAAGTTGAAAAAAAATATCATTTAATTCATTTCACATAGCGAAAATACTTTTAGCAAATATTGATATTATGCTGCAGCAAAGTTCGTTTACGCGCCACACGTTACAGTTTTAGTTTACTTTCTGTAAAATGTAATGTATAACACTTGCGTGTAAAACGCAAGCATTAGTGATAGTTTTAAAAAATTCTTACAACTTGAGGAGATTTAGGTAAAGGTCCTGGATATGGGACGACGAAATCACTGTGACCATTGATGACGTTAGATTGCTTCAAAACACGAATGCATGTTATGTTTGTCGTAATGACGTCTGAGTACATGCAAAGTTTACTTAGTTAACATTATCCTTGTTAGTGTTACTTTTACTTTTGTGACGGATTTATAGCAAATACTTTATGTCGTTTATTGATATTTTGAGTAGAATAATCTGTATGCGCCATAAGGACCTTAATTCTAGTTCTTTTCTAATTTTTAAATGAAATTAAAGTGATAAATAGCAACAGTAACAGTAATCCGTTATGTGATATATTCTTTGGAGAAATGTGTTTGGTTGTTATGCTCGTGTTCTTTTCATAATTTTCTAATTGGTAAATAAAATCTGTATTGAACTTTGACGTAAATCGTCATTAGCACTAATATATTTAGCATTTTAATAATTTTTCTATCATGAAATCACATAGAGTTAACATAGTTTTGTTATAGTCAGATCATTACGATTTGTGGACGAGGAAACGTGCGTGTTAATAAACTGATGACAGAATGGGAGCACTTATTTTAAACAGTTTCTTCTAATCTATGCAAAAAGATATCTAGTTTTTTTTTCATCAAGCGTTTATTTCTGCCTAGTTTTTGCAAATTTCTAAAAATATGTGATTTTTATCTCTTTATTTTATGCTAATTTCGATATAAAACTTTACTTAAATAAGAATTTGCAAGGTAGAAGCTTGCAAAAGCAAAAGAGATGAACAGTCTTTCGGATATTTTTTTGTTTTGTTTTTGCAAGTTTATTGAATAGTGTTGTGATATTTTGCTACACGTTGTAAGTTTATTTGATCTCTCTGATGATAGCGTAATGAAAACTAAATTTGACTTTTTATTGCGAATTTGCCTTTTCTATTTTAGTTGGAAGTAAGCGTTTATTTTTGCAAATAGTCAATTTTTAAGATTTTTTATGAGCAGAAATGTAATGGTTGGTATTATTGTTGTGCTAATTGTTGCTTCTGTCATTTAAAACAGTTTCATTATTTTATGCATTGTTTTTTCCGAATCTAGAGCGGTTGTATTATATTACACATTGTTTGATTGTGAACTCATGATGAAAGAAAATGCAAAACTTCTGTACTGCTGCAGGTATTACATTACATTAATATTTTCAGATTCCGGAATAATGATTTTGAGGTGGATTATTATACTGCTAATTTTTATACCACTCTTATTTGGAATTGATAAACGCCTGCAGTCTGTGAAAAAACGTGCTTCCCAAACAGACGAAAAGGAAGAAGAATCCGATGAGAAGGTTTATGTGTATTGAAAATTTCATTTGTTTTGCACTACGATTCCAGGTTAATGTTTTAATTTTGATACACATTGAAAATCAAAAGATCGGGATGCATTTGAAATTTATGTCAAATATTATTTAACGTTTTAAAAATTCTGAAATGTGTTACAGGGTGAGCAATTCTCTGATCGATTAGTTTTGTTAAATAATGAAGGAGAGACGGTTGTCATTGGGAGTCAAAGGCAGTCACCTGGTAGTAATATTTTTTTGCCGTTTTAGTAATCATAGAAGTCATTTGTTGTAATACGAACTTCTTATTGTTTAGTATGCGCGACATTGGTTTGTCCTGATTTTCTAGAGCTGACTTTGAGAAGGACTATGAAATATATTTTTGATTCCTGTTGTGTTATTTTAGCTACATATGACGTCACAGACGATGATGTTGATAAAATGTCGAGTAATTCAGATGAAATATTTACAACGCTTTCCGCAGGCGATGAATTTACAAAAGAAAAAGTAGTTGAACGGTAAAAGTTAAGCAAATTAAGTAATGAAGAATTTAAGTAGTAAGGAATTTCTTTGGCTTAGTTGTATACTACTTATAATCTTTAAAATCTTGAATTGAGATGTTTACTTATAGAGATGAAACGGAAAAAACAGACATTGAAAGGAAAGGGGATGAATTATATCGCACAGCAATGCGGTTTCTGGATAAAGGACGCGCTGCTTCAAAAGAAGCTAAAAGAGCTGCTTATAGACTTTTAGATGAAGCTGCTGAACTTAAGCATAAAGAAGCAATGAAATTAGTTGGTAAGTTTTAATAAATATTAGCACATTGTTATGCTTCAATGATTATATCAGTTTTTTTCCTCACTAAAAATGGCTCTGATATTGCTGTAGATGGAATATGTTTGAACTTTGTTTGCAGTGAGTGCCTTTAATATTGTTTTGTTCGTGCCATAAAATTTTTTTAATCTATTGAGTTGCATTAAATAGTAATTTATCATTCTTTTAGCATATGCATATTTGTTTGGTGATTATACACGATGGAATATTGACGAAGCACGAGCAATATTTGAAAAATTAGGTGAGGAAGGCTCAGCTGATGCTCAGTTAGCTCTGGGTTTCATGTATGCAACTGGTCTGGGTGTTGCAGAATCTTCTCAAGCAAAGGCATTAATATATTATACTTTCTCTGCTTTGGGTGGAAACCCTCTAGCTCAGATGGCTTTGGTATGTTTTTCAATTTTTTTAATTTGTAATACAAAATTGGTTTGGTTGAATACAAGCAATCATTTATTTAGAATTTCTTTTTTTTTTTCGTTTCTGTTCCGATTTATTGTTAAATGCAGGGCTATCGGCATTGGTCAGGCATTTCTGTGCAACAAAACTGTGAACGTGCACTTACCTGGTACAGAAAAGTCGCTCAGCGGGTCAATAAGCTAGTTCGTATTTCAGGTGGCTCAGCAATGCAACGAATACGTTTACCCGACGAACAGGTTTCAGATCTCCAGTTCTGGAATATCTCCTATTCTATTATATTTCAGAAAATAAGTTTTTTAATTGTACAATTCAAAACTGATCAGCTCTTCTTTTAGTAAAGGGAAATTCTAGGATAGTGTCAGTACTTCATCTTCATCAAGTTCTATTTTGGATCCAAACTTGTTAAATTATTATAAGTACTTGGCAGACAAAGGCGATTTACAAGCACAAGTAATTTTTTCATTAGATGTGCATATATAATTATATATTATTTGTTCTCGTAAATATTCGCTTTCGGCTATATATATAGTTTGCACACAGTAAATAAAAGGCTAAAGATCAATTCTGTGATGAAATCAACACTTATCATATACATGCTATGAGCCCTCTCTATATCACGTTACATTTTTTGCTAAAATTTTATCTCCATCATCAAAAAATTAAGGTCGGCTTGGGTCAACTATATTTGACTGGTGGACGAGGCGTCGAACAGAACATGGAGTTAGCTAGCCAATATTTTTCAACAGCTGCGCAAGCGGGTAGCACAAATGCTTATGCTTATTTGGGCAAAATGTATTTAGATGGCACAGTAGCTACACCTCAGGATAATGCTACAGCATTTCAGTTCTTCAAAAAAGCGGCAGATAAGGTACTGGAGTTTTATGATCTTTGTAAACATTGACTTGTCAAAAAGTACATGTGAATTATAACTAATGCAATCATTAAGAAACGGATTTTCATACACTTGCCATAATTCTCAGGGAAATCCAGTTGGACAAAGTGGTCTGGCTATAATGTATATGTATGGTAAAGGAGTTAAACAGGATTATAACAAGGCTGCAAAATTATTCACTTTGGCTGCTGAACAAGGATGGGTTGATGGACAATTGAATTTAGGGTATCTATATTTCAGTGAGTTTTGTTCGGACTTTTGTATAATATGGAACTTTTAATTACTAAAATAAATGTAATTTGTAATTTATGAAAGGTTTTGTTTACTAATATTAATTGTATGTGCTTGTTTTCAGGAGGACTTGGCGTTAAGAGAGATTTTAAGTTAGCGATAAAGTATTTCCAGTTGGCGTCGCAGTCAGGACATATAAATGCATATTATAATTTAGCGCAGATCCATGCTACAGGTTTCTTACTTAAATCGTTTCAGTTTTAAGAGATTCTTGTCTTGTGAAAAAGATTCTTGCCTTCATTCCATAAGTTGATTGTATGTTTAATTATGTAGTTTTAGGAACTGGTGTACCTCGTGATTGTCAGAGTGCTGTTGAGTTATATAAAAATGTAGCTGAAAGAGGACGTTGGTCAGAGCGTCTTATGGAAGCATATACCAGTTATCGCAATGGAAGAGTTGATGAAAGTGTTTTCAAATATCTTTTTATGGCTGAATTAGGCTATGAAGCAGCTCAGACCAATTTCGCATATATCATTGACCGTGGTAAATTTTGTCTTGCACAACAAATGAAATATAGGAATTACTAAGTTCCATAGAATATATCAAGATACTTTACGGCAATGAAAATTTTTATAATCAAAGTCGAAGTTGTTCTTTCAGGTGAATCAAATTTGTTTCCAAATGAGGAAGCATTACAGCGTGCTTTGCTTCATTGGCAACGTTCGGCCAATCAAGGTAATGCCTATGCACGCATAAAATTGGGAGATTATTATTATTATGGTTATGGTACACCAATTGATTATGAAATGGCAGCGGTACAGTACAAAATTGCTAGTGACAGGCATCAAGCTGCGCAGGCTATGTTCAATTTAGGATATATGCATGAGCAAGGACTTGGAATCAACAAAGTTTGCTTATCCTGTTACGGCAAAATATATTTTATGCTGAATACTTGATCGTAAATTAACTGCAGTGAAATTTAAAATATTTTGTAGGATATTCATTTGGCGAAACGATTTTATGATATGGCTGCTGAAACCAGTACTGATGCTTATATGCCAGTAAATTTGGCTCTTTTAAAACTTACTGCTTTATTTTCATTAAATTACTTCAAAGAGGTTAGTTTAAATTTTTCTAACATTATGAATCAATTCAAAGTTTTCGCAAAGTTCTTCATGTTTTGCTACATTTATTGGTTACCATTGTATAGGGAAGCTATAATAATTTTTTTGTCGTTTTCATCCTTGGTGTTCATCAGTAACATAAAATTGAAAGCGTACATTTTCAGAATTCTTTCGTGACAATGCTCGATTATATTTTTGGTGCAAACTGGGATTTATATGCGATATCGTTATTTTTCGGCTTAATAGTTATTTTATGGATGGGCTACAGACGACAGAGATTCGTTGGACCTGAACCCTAGAAAAAATGTTTTGTTTAAAGTAAACAGTTTACTAGATCTTTTCATATTGTGGGATTTGCGCTCTAAAAGATTCACGATTTGGTAATTTTTTTTGAATTATACATATTTGGAGTATTTCTGTGCATTCCAGTTGCTGTGATTGTATTTGTATTGTCTGTATGTAGGAATTCAGCCCAGTCTGGTGATTGATTTTGTAAGAATAACTCCTTTTAAATACAAGTTCCAATATCCATGTGGTGTTATAACTGTCATATAATATTTTTAGATAGAATAGAAGTTTTAATAGTTTTTTTGTCTGTATGTTATTTTTTGTTTGAAACACGGATACGGGTCAACTCTTCATACACTGAACATGTAGCAGTGTTAATTTTTGTTTTTCAACTTCATCCCTGAATGATTTTGATTGTCCATTATCGTACAGCTCCTGGCTTCTTGTATCATTCTGTTTCATGATTTTTAATAGCTTTTTTTTGGATATTTGCGGCATATATGTAACTGATGACGAAGTAGTTTCTAATGCGAATCATATTTAAAAAGCAGTATGTATTTGTACCTTTCCATTTTTCTCATCATCAGTTTTAATGGTAGTGTGACTTATGAAGTTATGATTCGTGCAATTCTTCGTTTTTATAGTTTGCAGTGCTAAGCCAGAATAAAGAAATTAGACCCTGCAAGTTTCGCATGCGAAACAAATAGCTTCATTTTCAAGTTGCAAAGAATATATGTACGAAGCACTACAAGAAATAGTTTTTATTTGCGGAAATTAGTGGGGAAAGCTAGCATTTCGTTTCATTTGCTGCTCAGTTGGACATTGGTGACGGGTTCGAATTTCAGCGTAATTCATAGGCACAAGAAGATGGCATCATTAATTCCATTTATGCAGATGAGGCAAAATACCGTCAACTTCTTCATGAGGAGTTCGTTTGCAGTCATTTTTTACTGAACAGTTTCTGTAGTTACGAGTGTCTTTACTATTACATGAGAATTTTTAATAAGATTATGGTACTGTAGCTTAAGACTGTCCACATTTAGAACCTGCTCGCTTGCTGTGGAAGACTGTCACATCACTCTCACCAGCTGGCGTCAAGAAGGGACGAGGGAAAACTCGTCAGAGTGTATTGAACCTTCACAAGTTTTATCGAATTGGTTCTGGTAAGTTTATCATGTTTAGCCCAATTCCACAATTCTTTCGCGTTCATTTAATTAAGTGCAAAATATTTTGTAGGCCCGATAAAAGTGAAGTTTCCTGGCTTAAATGCTCCTTTGATGGCTCCCAATGAAGAGCCTTTAGCAGTGATGGAAAAGACTAAAGAAGAAATAGATGCTGTCGAAAAACGTCTAAATGATATAATAGCTTCTCGACCTTCGTTAGTCATTTTTTAATGTTGTAGTTTAAAGTTCCCGAGTTTGTTAATTGGTTTGAATGTTCCATTGTTGTTATGATTAAGTATTACATTTTTGTTTAGGAAGAAAAGAGTAGAAGAAAAATTACATCCATTAGAACGTGGGTTTTCTGGCACAAGAATTGAAGGCCAAAAATTGGGTCCTCCACCTCCGAGTGGTGACAATAATTTTGAGGATTTTCAATCTTATTGTCTTCAGGTTCATGGTTTTCCGTATAATATTTCACTTCAAAGAATAAGCAATGCCTTAATAGAAAAAGACAAGAGACAGTCATTGTTTGCGGAATGATTAATGATGATTATTTATTTTTTAGTCATTCTTGTAAAGCTGCAAGAATAATTGTTTAACTTAGAGAACAAAAATTATTTTGACTTTAAATATGATTGTGAAATAAAATCGTTCCAGTTTATTTATTTAAAGAGTAATTTTTATTAAATAAGTGATGTGCATATACATTCTTGTTGTACAGCATTTTATCCTGCTTTTAGCTTCGAAGAACAACAAATATGACGTCATATGGTCGAAAGCATACAATGTCAGCTTTGATTGTTACTGGTAATGGAAAGGGTCTTGGTGGTTATGCAGTTGGTAAAGCTGGTCTCAAGCATCACATCCGCGCTCTTATAAATGGCATGAAAATGGCCTCAAGAAAATTAGTATTTGTGGAATTATTAGAGGGACGTACAATATATCAAGATTTTTATGCTGAATGTCGTGGTACACGTATTTTTGCTCAAAGAAGACCAAAAGGTTTTGGCTTGCGTGCTCACCCTAGGTTAATGAAGATTTGTGAGGTAACTTTTTGTTCATGTCATATTTAGTGTTGTTCAGAACTGTAACTTCATGAAGCTCCATGGGGTTTTTTAGCTTCAAAATGTATTCATTCTGTCATGTTTTCAGCTGCTTGGTATAAAGGATCTTGAATGTAAAGTGGTAGGTTCAACCAAAAATTACATTGCTTTAACACATGCATTTTTCATTGGTAAGTCTAATTTCAACTCAAAAATTAATGACCTGTTGGCTGATAGTGTAAAAGACAGAGCATCTTCACAAGAAAGCTAAAAATCTTTATTAAGCTTTTTAAATAAATGCAGTGCTTTTTTTTTTTTTGAATTTTAAGTTTTAGTACATATTTTATTTCTATCGAAATGAGTACGAAGTAAAGTTAATAATTTATTGTTATGTGTGATATTCTCAGTGCAGTTATTTCAAATTATTTATTATTTATAAACTTGGTGATTTACCCACTGATCCTGATATTAAAGAAATCTCCTAATTAGTTTTCGATTAGTTTGTTTACAAGCTGATTCTTCTAACTGTAATTAATATTACTATTTATCAACTTAACTTTCAGGCCTTTTAAATCAAGAAACTCATCAGCAGCTTGCTGAATGCAAGAGGTTACACGTCGTTGAATTTTCTCCACACAGAAGATATTTTCCTATCAAAGTTGCTTCTCCTCTACATTCGGATTTGAGAACTGAGCGAGATATTGAACCGAAAGAAGTTAATTCTCCCATTACTAAATTCTATCAATAAACCTCAGTATCTGAAGAGTTTCGATATCAGCGGGATACAGTATTCAGCTGTTTTTTGATAACTTGAATAATTTCTTCTTGTGGTACGAGCATCACAATATATATATATTCATTTAGAAGTTACTGCTAAATGATTTCTATGGCGAAGGACGCTTACCCTTGATCAAAAAACAAGTTCCGTTCTATGCAAACCTGCCCAATCATCTTGCAGCAGAAGCTCTTAAATATCGTTTTCGAAATCGAGACAAAGTAAACCTATTGTTCTGATGTTCTTGGTTAAGTAGTACCGCATCTGTTTATTATTTGCGAAGGAACGCTGTTTCTTATATAATAATTAACCTAGAAAATATAAATATTGAATGCATTTCTTTGTAGACTATGATCCGACTAATGGCTGATGATGTGATTCTGCGCTGGACTCGTGATGAACGTAAAAAATGGGCAGATCAGAAACATCAAGATATGTTAAACGGATTAATTCCACTCCCAAAAGGAATTGGTTTACCCGAAGTATTGCCAAAACCAGAAGGAAAATAATTGAATGAATGTACTGTTTGGTCTACCACTGTACACTATGTATTAACTGTATGCGCAACAGTGTTGAGTCATACATTGTTAAATATTGGTGTTTGCCGTACAACTTCATTTGTGATAGAATTTTGTCACATGCTAAATTCTACTTGTGTAGTCTGAAAATTTACCTCCACAGTGAATATATTTTGCTTGCATATGTACGTTGTAGTATTTGTTCAGTAATTCAACTTTAATTAGAATTTTCTATGAGTTCGAGAAAAGGTGGTATATTTGCTAATAATGAATAAGGAAAGAAACAACATTAATTTCTTGGTCCAGGATTTGCAAAACGAGTCCAAACTTCAAAAGATGGTCTGTAAAGGTTTGTTGTGGTTTGAAGCTCACAAATTAATTGAGTCTGGTCCTAGTATATGGTCTGTTTGGTCTGTTTTGGTATTTGAATCATGGCTGATACGAAAGCATTGCCCGTTTTCGCTTTTACCGATGATCGAGTACAGCTTCAGCAGTTGCGTGCTTATATGAGAGATCGTGGGTCGTCGATAGCAGAAGATGGTATGTATTATATTCGTTTAAAATTTTTCGCAGCCACGAGTAAACATGCGCACGAAATACAGAATTATTTCGCAAAAATAAGCAGTGGATATGCTTTGCAGGGTCTGCAGATTTCAATGAAAATTTGGCAGAATTGGTGAGAGAAGTGAAGCTACTGGGGAACTTAGAAAGCGATAAGGAAGTGGAGATGATTTTAAATTCAATTTCATCGCTTATTGTTGTACTTACTCCGGAAGCTGCTGAAAAAATAATCAAAGAGTTTTGTGCACAGCTATCTAATGAGGTTTTCAAAGGTACTGGATGGAGCAGTAATGTGAGTTCACAAAATTTTGACACTGGCTTGGTTCTGTTAGTAATTATTGATGTCAAACTTTATTAAAAATGGTATCCAGTGTTGTCTCTATAGAATTTAACCTGCATTTTATCTCATTTATTTTACTTGCTTTTTTAGGCTTTAATTCACCTTATGTTTGGAAAAAAGCTTTTTCCCTTACTTCGTCGTTTTTATTTCGTGGTTTTTTTTAATCATCATTTATCTTGTGTTTTAAATATATTCCTTGCTACAAGTATTTTTTCATCATGCTTTAGGCTGCAGCGGCTGTTCGGACTCTATCAAATTTGTTTTCTGCTTTTAACAAACATCCACAAGTGCAACATTATCTTTACGTTGCATTGGTGACTCTTTGTGGACGAGCACGAATTATAGGGGACCTCGATACAAGTAATGAGATTGTTGAACAGTATATCAAGCGATGGTCATTGAATCAGAAGCAGCAGCGTAACCTTTTGAGATTAATTCATGGTGCCCTGATTAATGATGAAAGGGCCGATCAAGCTGCTAAGGTTAGTCATAACAAAACAAGAAATCATGTCATATTTTCTATAATTTTGAAACAGATTGTATAAAAAGTATTTCAGACAATGACGGCTTTACTAGGAACATATACTGATGTTGATGCTGCATCTGCTGTGGAAGACGCTCGTGAGTGCGTGCGAACAGCAGTTGTCGACCCGAAATCATTTAGTTTCGATCATCTATTACAACTTCCTGCAGTTGAATTGTTAGAAAAAGTTCGTTTACATTATATTGTCACTGTCGTATATTTACAATAATATATGACTCCTCTAATTAGATATTCTTCTTTATAGCTTATGAATATAAAACCAAAATAGCAGTTTTAGGATGTTTACCGCATGATTTCATAATATCGTCAGAAAAACATGGTTTTTGTTTTTCATAAATTCATACTGCATTACTTCTCAGTGTTTCAGAGTGATCCGTTGATGCATCAAATACTTGAGTTGTTTTGTTATGGAACTTTGAAAGATTATCAAGCTTTTGTTCGAACGCATCCAATGTTCATTACTAACAAATTGCATGTTGATGATTCAGTGCTAGTGAAAAAAATGCGGTTACTGACCTTGATGGATATGGCCGAAAAAAATAATGTGAGTCATTGGTTTACTGTATTGCAGGACATATATAGAATAAACTCGTTTGGTAAAGTCATTTAAAATAACCGTTAAGTAAATTGCACTCTTTAGTTATCTAACCTCAAAATGGTTCCTTTCTTTAAATGTTGATGGAGACATTTTGCAATTTACTGTGCGTTTTGAATTTACATTCTAATGTTTTACAGGTTATTCTTCTTCGAGATTTGTCACGCGAAGTTGATATACCTGAAAATGAAGAACTGGAGGAGTTTATAATTGAAGCCATTAGAATAAATGCAATATGCGTACGTCTATTTTATTTTCATTGCCATGTTTTTTCCATTATATTAATCTCAAAAAACAATTGTAAAACTTTTTCAGGGCAAAATAAATGAACAAAAGAAAGAACTCCATGTAAGTTCCTTACAGCACCGAAGTTTCGGTCGTCCACAATGGGAACTACTTCACAAACGAATTAATTTATTGATTAATAGCTTAAAAACATCGCATGAAAATATAAAAAATGTATCTAGTGATAGATCTACTTAATCTTCCACATTTTTATACTTTTTGTTGCATCTAAGACATTTCTGAGGCTGGTAATATCGTTTAATTCTAGATAAAAAAGTTTAATCAGTATATGATGCATATTTACTAAATATTAACTGTTGTTACTTACGTTTGAAATAATAGCAAATGTCAGGGTTAGTGCTATTGAAAACTTTTCAGTTAATGGTGATGAGAAATGAAACAATGAAATAAAATTTTTCCATAATAATTACCTTAACCATGTTTCCGTTCTTTCGAATTTTCTTACTTGTCTTGAATTTTGACTAATGCTTACATTAATTGAAATTTGAAGCTGGGAAAACTTTGTGCTAATTAATATCAATGACATAGGTCTACCAATGAATTACAGCTGCTACTAATTTGAGATGAGAGTGGTGTTATAGCTGCTTTTATATATTTTTTGAAGTACGATAGAAGGACTACTGCAGTTGCAATTAATAAACTTTTGAAAATTTGAAGCTTTAAGATTAAGTCGTATATTGGTTGTTTTCTGCTTTGTCTTGTCTGTAAATATTTTGGATGGACGGAAATAGTGGGTCACCGCAAACAGAAACGTTCGATAAGGAGCAAGTCTATGAGTGGATTCTGGATTTGCGTGACTCAACTAAGAGGGAACAGGCCCTTCTGGAACTAAGGTATTTTTTTACAAGTGTTTTCATTGGCATTCTCTGTTCCTCATCTTATTTAGTAGAAGTATGTATATTGAGTGTGACTGTTGAATTATATGTCATCAAAAGCCCTGTAAGTTATTTGTGAATCTGTTCATATTGTACCAAGTTTAGCAAGAAACGGGAGACGGTACCGGACCTTCCATTGTGGCTTTGGTATTCGTTTGGTTCAATGGCTTCTTTGCTTCAAGAAGTTATTTCAATCTATCCAGCCATTATGCCACCTACGCTCACTGCATCGCAGTCCAATCGCGTCTGTAATGCTTTGGCTTTGATGCAGTGTGTTGCTTCGCACAAAGAAACTAGAAGTCAATTCTTGCAAGGTAATTTTTAGGCTCGCAAAAACATACCATGTTATTATTGTTGTACAGTAGTGTACTTAATTTTGTTAAAAAAGTGACAAGAGTGTTTTCAAAAAAACTGGTGCTTAAAATATGGAGTAAATTCTTCTACTTTCGCATGTGGAAAATAAAGTAAGGTAAAGAACTTTAAAGAAGCTTACAACTTGGATTTCCAATTTAAAATGTTTTTTAGCACATATTCCACTATTCTTGTATCCATTCTTGCATACAACGAAAACATCTCGACCGTTTGAGTATCTTCGTCTAACATCTCTAGGTGTTATTGGTGCACTGGTAAAGACTGATGAGCAGGTTGTATATTCCATGCTTTTTTCTTAAAAAAATTAAAATTATGTCCAATAATATTATGGCTTTTAAGAGTAGTTCGAAGAAGAATATGAGTTGATTTTTTTTTCTAGTAGCATATTATTCAGATTTAGTTTGTACTTAATATAAGAAAGCAAGTTATTTTAGGAAGTGATACAGTTTTTGCTCTCAACAGAAATAATTCCACTCTGTTTGCGGATCATGGAAAATGGGACGGAACTATCGAAAACGGTGGCAACATTTATTCTCCAGAAGATACTACTTGATGATACTGGCTTGGCATACATCTGTCAAACATATGAACGCTTTTCCCATGTCGCTATGATTCTGGTGAATTTTATATTTTAGTTATGCTTGTTTACTGAAGTATTCACGCGTAAAGCGTGCAACAAATTGTATTTTGTACGTGCATATCTTATCATTTAAAACCAAAGTAATGAAGGTGAACAAAAGTATAACAACTGTTTAGAATCGAGGTGTACCTTATTTTTCTATTCGGCATTATTATGACCATTTATCTTATTTATTAAAAGCTCGAGACAAGATTTTCAAAATTGAAGGATGAAATTGATAGTCCTTTCTGAACAATTCATCTTTAAGGGCAAAATGGTTTTACATTTGGCCAAAGAACCGTCTCAACGACTTTTAAAGCATGTGGTTCGGTGCTACAGTCGTCTTTCAGATAACCCCAGGCAGTTATTTCCTCACACTTTATCTAATTTCACTCATGAAAGGTGTGGTTCTATGTTCCCGTATCGTATTTTTTTTTCTATCTTTGTAAAATCTTGTCCTAATTCCCGCAGTTCAAGTTTCAAGTTCTTAATTTTTAGAGCTTTACAAGCATTACGACAGTGTCTACCGGATCAGCTGCGTGACGACACTTTTACTCGAGTACTTGCGGATGACAAATCGACCAGACACTGGTTGAAACAACTACTAAAGAATATTGGTAACAGATTATCAGAGTGCTTCGAAACTTTCTTTAAAATGGTTCTTTAAAAAAGTTTTCTCATTAAGCAGTGGAAAAAAACTGGATAGTTCTAGGTTTTTCTGTGAGTCCTTGAAGGAAAACTATAAGTCCGATGTTTGTTCGAATTGATGAAATTTCCTACGGACGGGCTCAACAAGAAAATCCTGCCGAGCATTGATCTACATGTTCGCATTGGGAAATATGACTCTAGAATGTTCAGAGTCTTGCAATGTATTGAAATCGTGTTCATATTGTCTTTCATTACATATTTTCTTTTTCTTTAGTAAATTTGTCTAGAAATATTGAAATCAGTACTAGCAAATTTTGAGGTAGTTTTACAGTAAGCTAGAGATTCCTCCGAAATCGACAGTTTTTTAGTAAGTTGGGAATCGTGCAGTATACCGCTGGCCCAAGAGATTGGTGGTGATTTTCTTAAATACTTTAGTCAAAACAAACTCCAGTTATATTGTAGGTTGAGAAAATAGTGACAAGACCCTTGAAAAAAATTTACATGCATATATCAAAGACAAAATTCTTGGAACAAGATTTCACCAAATCAGTGGTTTACAACATAAGATACGAAGATTAATATTCCAATCAGGGACATAATTTTAAAAATTTGGTTTGTTTTTCATACTTCAACAATAGTTTTTTCGCGTTTAATTGTGATTCCTGACAGCTGGAGATTGTTTTTGCTAGGATAGGCTACCAATAATGAACCTGTATCCTTTGTGATCTAAAATAAACAGATTAATTTAAATTTTTTTACATCATCAAACTACGAAAAACTGCTATCAACAAAACTGCTTCTAGAAATAAATGTGTAGGTACTAGGAACAGTCATGAGTTCCTTTCGACAGAAACAAAAGTTACAATTTGTCACCAAATAACTTGTAGGAGAAACACTCCTCACCTTAATTTGTTCAATAATCAGATTGGTCAGACATTTTTGCTCAACGACTTCTTTAACAAATAAGTCCATTATCTCGACACATTTACTTTCTGATGCGGTACTTGTCACTTCCACAAATATGTCTTTCGTATCTTCTTGAAGCTGCAAGTTGAAAATTGCACTGGTTGTAGTGGATAAGGATTATAAAGAGTGAAACAACCTTTGTTTCGTCGCAATTGGTCACTGGTGGCAAACTTATAACAAGATCCTTTGCATCTATCAGACATGGATAAAGTGGTAGCCTTTGGATTAGATATATATATCTGCAAACTTTTAAAAGCAAAAAAACACCATGAACTACTCAGTCACTTTAGGGCGTTATGTAATTATTGAGCTATTCGAAACAGAACGAGAGCACACGAAATTTCTTATAACTTAGTACAGATATGAGAACGAGAGTGCACGAAATTTCAGTATACCAACTTGTAAATATCTGATACTACATTTCGTTTTACAAGCTCTCTGGATAATTCTGCTTCATTTCCCAAAGTTGATACGAATTCTCTTCCAGAAATTTTTTTGTGATGGTGTATCGGTGTGATCTATAACAACAATATATTTCTGTTGAAGAATCCTCTTTGAAAAAGTGCTTAGCTTACCATCAGTAAATCTGGATTGACAGCTGCATATGTTAAGGGAGGCTGGATATTGCTGCAGTCATGTGTTCCGATGCTTGCGATTGTCCGATCACAACAAATAGTAGAATGTAATTTATTCTGAAATTAAAATTATCATTGTTTTAAGACATGTGCTTTAGAATTTCCAATCAAATTAAAAATTATAAATGATACTCAAGACACACCTGAATATTTAATAAATGTTTTATTTTTTCTGCAGTAAGCGAGCAGTTTTTGAAAATACAAGAAGCAATATAAGGTCGAATTTCTGCCACTTCTTTAGTCAATTGAACGTCAATCTACAAATAAGCGTTTGCCTATCAATTTTAAAATAATACCTTCAAAAAGCTTCAATAAGAATTTATCTCACACTATTAAATCCGTAATGGACCGTTATTATTCGACTATCTGAAGCAGAATCGTTTGCAGCAGTAACATCGGTTCCTAGCGGCAGTTTCTTATTTTCTGCACATTTATTTGGAGCTCTTTTCTTTAGATATTCTATAAGCATTGACGTCTTGTGTCTTGGACTTTGAACTAATTTGTTAAAACGCTGGTCTGAAAATCTGAAAAAGTTACCACTTTTTTCAGGATAGAAATAATTTTATTATTCGAAACATGAATAATACATATATTAAATTTTAAGGATGAAAATATTTACTTGTTATTCGTTAGATTTAGCGTCTTCAGTTTGCTGAAGTTACAGAATACAAATGGAAGATCAGTAATCTCGTTATCTGATACGTCAATAGTTTTTAAAATACCACTTAATGCATCTATTTCTGAGGGTATACTTTTGATTTTATTTGAATTAAGTATTAAAGTTTGCAGTTTTGATTGATAACAAAATAACGTTGGAAAATCAGTTAGTTGATTATGTGATACATCAAGATGTTGTAAGGAAACGAGACCAGATATATCAGGTAATGATGTAATCTGAAAAGACATCGCATAACTGCTAATACAGGACTAATTAATGGGCATTAAAGATGAAATACAATAATGCTTGGAAATGTTCGGTAGTTGGTGAATATTATTAACGATGCAAAATCATGAATTGAATAAGCGCTTTTGCAAGCAAATTTAAAAAATTATCATGAAAACGCAAATCAGAACTGTGCACATGAGCTTTTAGATTTGTTGTACGTCACTATGTGGCATAAGGATGACAAAAAGAAGAATACTTTCTAGTGAGACAAAAAAGATATAAAATCATACGTTGTTATTGGCTAGCAGTAATGTCGTGAGACATGATAAAGTGCCAAGGGTATTTGGAAGTTCTTCGATTTTGTTCATCGATATGTCAAGAAATACCAACTCTTTTAAACCCCCAATTTCTTCAGGAATATGCGTCAAACTATTGTTGTACAATATGAGTTTCTTCAATTTACTTGCTTTTCCTATGCATTGATGCAGCAGTGTAATATTCAATCCAGCGAGTTCTATATAGTTGAGAGATTTATTCTGGAAAGGAAGATAAAACACAATTTATTAGATGTGATAAAAACTTATAGAAAGATTTGAAATTCTGACTGCAAAAAGAATAAAATTATAAAGAAAAACAAACGCAATTACTGTGTTATCTAAGTGAAACTCACCACAGCGAAAATTTGGTTCTGTAATTCTTCATCGTTAATACTCGGTTTTCGGTTATGTACAGGAATGGAATTTAGAGTCAGTTCGCATCGTTTTTCTCTTGCAACTAGACTAATCTCTGGCCATTTCATTAAAAGTCTGCTGTCAGGCGATAAAATTCCTGGATAGTTTTTCATTTTCTGAAATGTAAAATTACATAATTAAAGACTTCCTACTGACTGCTACTAATACTTCATGAAATGCCCTAGTACTTTATATGCATGTAAAATGATTCTTGAAACAATGAAAAGAAATATACCGAGAAGAACCGATTTAAAGCATATAAAAATGTTCATATAAAAATAAATAGAAGTACTACAGCAATAAACTATATGATTAGTAATGGTTGATTAATCTTAAAACATTTCAAGGAATATAGTTGAGCTTATTTTCAGATTCCTCCTTTACGTGAAGTTAAAAACGAGTTGAGGAAATAAAAGATGAAAGTGATTTATTATAGAACATTATTATTCTGAATAAGCATCATTATTTAATATGAATGACTACAGTTCAACTGTACTGAAAATTTATAAAAAATTGCTAGCTAACACTGCTTGTTAATAATTGCAAAGTCATAATTTAATGAAGCCTGAAATATATTATATTTCACTTTACACTGTCACTTTTTAATAATCTTTAACATTTAATTTAACTTTTACTTTCTAATGATAATTCTGACTAATAATTTGAACACAAAAGTGATTTACGTTACCAAATATCTGACATTTGATAGTGCAAATTCCACTTGTTTCAAGCAATCTACGATCCTTTCATACAGATCCGTTGTATTTAATACAGTGTAAAAATGGAAGCGATTTTCATGCAGTATAGCATAAACAGGTGCTCCATAGCAAATAATTATACAAAATCGAGTACTCCCAAAACAGTAAGTAATGAGAAGGAAAAAAGGTTGATAGTGTTATAAGAAAGCGAAACAAAGCAATGAATACGAAGAAAGAACGTTGAATAGATGGCTTGTAGAAATAACTACCACTTGACCACTCATAAAGTAAAGTAAAGAAGTAACGTTGCTAAGTATACTTTTAGCATTTTCTGACAGTACTCTAAGACACATATCGTCTAGCATTTGCATATGATTCTATTCCGAAAGTTAGACTCATCTCGGCTAATATATTTTGAATGTTAAATGCAAAGAGTAAACTCTATGTTTAGTTCTTTCCTTGCAAAAAAAATAAAAACAACACTAAATACTGAGAGGTGTAGAGAAGTAGAGTGAAGTGCACTTACTTCTTTATTCGTAGCGTTTAATCTTGTTTCTATTTCATGAATTATATGTTCAGCATGTGGGGAGATCACAAAGCTAAAACATTCTTGCGGAACAAATTATTAAGGCGTAAATAAAGTAATACACATGGATTTACAGTTTACAATGACATGCAGTCAGTTAAATTTGTATTAACCTGTACAGAAATAACATTACTGAACAATTTGTGTAGTTGCTATCCATTATGCAAATCCTGTCAAACAATTGCTACTTACGCATTTCATTCAAATATTTTAACAAAAATAGTAATTGAAATTAATGAAATAGAAAGTCGCCATCTTTACGTAATAATAACATTTTAAATGGAATCACAGACATGTGGAAAATGTGTTGTTGGACTTAGTCCATGAAAAAGCATTTGTTCTTCATGATTGATATCACGTTTTCCGTGTAATCCACCGTCTCCCATGTAACCATAAGAACGGCTTTTAACTGTTTTGCCATTTTGTCGTTTAATCCTTTCGTTATGTTCATGATTACGATAGTCATATTCTTGGCTGTTCCTATGATAACCTTGGTTGTGACTTCCATGATGATGATTGTAATGATGATTATGATTATGTTGATGATTGCTATTTTCATGGCTGCCTCCATGTTCATAGCTGTTAGGATGACTGCTTTCATGACTGTTTTGATAATTAGGTGTTCCATGTTCATAGCTATGAAAATGTCCAGTATTTTGAGTCTGATCATTATGATTATGATTGCCATGATTGTGGTTGTGGTGATTATGGTTATGATTGCGATTATGGCCACTATGATGTCCATTATGACCGTGGTGATGACCGTTTTGTTTGTTGTGGTTGTTCCATAAATGTCTTTGAGAAGATGACTATAACAAGGCTGATAAATTAATGACTACTCAGAAAATTTACTGATTTTAAACTGCGAGAAATGAAATATTTTAGAATTTCTTTTTTGCAAACAAATAAAGTCAGCTGTAATAATATCTTCCTTTAAAGACTAATGTTAAATATCATAAAAGCTGTACATACATGTTGAATTAATTGAGTTAATCTAATCAGCATCTAAATTCATGATTTTTTTTATCAGTCATTTTGAGCCAAAATT